TGTCATATTCATCATTGTTCTTTTGAGTTCCATGTCCTGCATTGTCTCTACGGGATTCTCATTGTACTCCCCTAGAGGACTATTGGTATTTGGTGGCAATATGGCTTTTTGGTTTTTCATATTATTATTTTTTCTCTGTTATTTTGACGTGAATTTCTTTTGTAGTTTCTGATTCTTGTGTGAGTCTTAAGCTTTCAAGTTTTGGTCTGCTTCTTTTTGTGAACTTTATGTGTCTTTGTGGTTTACATTTTGGGCATGAAAAGCTGGTTCCTCTAAGCTTCCAGTTCTCTCTTTTGATTTTATATTAGAGTGGCCAGATTGCTTTTGTCTTCAGGAGTTCCCAGAGAGGCTCAAGTCAGATGAGAATCAGATGCTCTCAGGCTGTCTCCTAAGGTCTGGATCCCTCCAGGAAAGATTTTGGCTTCAGGAATTTGGGAGTTGGACTAGCCTGGGAACCAGGCCCAGGAAAGATGCTGGTCTAGGATGGCTGGTAGACGTGTCACCCAGAGATGCAAAGGAAGTTGGGGGTGGGAAGTGGCTCCAAGGGCTCTTGGGGACTGCACTGAAGAGCTGGGTTGGTCTTGATGCAAAGGATCAGGAAGAGGAAATGTCAGCCCTGGTGTCCAGGAAAGAGGCTGGGGAGTTGTGCAGGCCTAGGGAAGTAGAGGGAGGTGAGGGTGGGGCCAGGCCCAGAGTGCTCCTGGGGACCAGAGAAGGAACTGAGTTGGTCTGGATGCAAAGGATCAGGAAGCATTGGTGGTTCCCCAGGTATATGGGGAGCCAAGACAAGGAATGGTACAGGACTCAGGCTAGGAGGAGATGGGAGGGTGAATGAGGCTGGGGGAGTCATGGCGCGGACTTACCGAGGAGAGAGAGGCCTGTGAGTCAGAAAGAGGCCTGCCAGTCAGTCCTGGAATTTTTAATGCAATTTGTTCTCTTACTAGAAGACTATTTCCTAGAGCCCATATTATATCTAGGTTTTGTTTCTGTGATTTAGGCTCCATTATTGTTGTTGTTGCTGCCGCTTCCGCTGCTGCTGCTGCCGCTCCTGCTGTTGCGAGAGAGGGTCTCATATAGTACAGGCTGGCCCAGAACTCACTAAGTAGCTAAGGATGACCTTGAACTTCTGATCTTCCTCCTTCCATATAGAATTACAGGCATGCCCCACCATGCCTGGTTTGAACTCATATATCTGAATTATTTCCCTAGTTGATCTCCTGACAGTTGACACATTGTTGTTTCTTAAAATTACCACATTTTCCTAGAACTTTATGATTTAGAAAATTATAATTTGTTTTCTTCTAAAATAAAGTCTTTTTTTAGAGTTAAAGAATTCTATAGAAACTTCAGGAATTAATATTCTAAGTGGGCTGGAGAAATGGTTTAATGGTTAAGAGTGTTTTCTGCATAAGCATGAGGTCATGAGTTCTGATCCCAGCTACCATGTAAAAAGCCAGGCATGCCACATACACCTGCTACCCCAGTGTTCCTGGGGGCAAAGATTGGGATCACTGAGACTTTCTGGCTGCCAACCTAGCACCAGGTTCAGTGAGAGACTCTGTCTCAAAGGAATATGGTGGAATGGGGTAGAGCAGGGCCCTCAGTACCCTCCTCTGGCCCACACATGCACACCCACAAATGCACATCCACACATACGTGTATGTATACCACACTCACACACATATATACACAAAAATTATAAGCATCATCATGCTTCCTTAGTGGTCAGTTTATACACTCCCTCATTCCCTGTCTTAGTCAAAAAGTGAAGCCAGTCTGAACCTCTGGAAAAAGTATTTTTGCTTATTGATAATTGCGTGCTGCTCATTATCAGGGAAAAGCACTGGAAAAGCAATATTACCTAATAACGTGCTTATGTCAAGTACACTAATCATGACTTACAGATTAAAATATAGTTTATGGATGTAATTATTATGAATGATTTTAACAAGCACAATGGCTCTTAAGTATTTTATTTTGAAAGAAAATGCATACATGTATGTACTTTTTAATTTTATTATTTGTTTTTATTTTTATGTGTATGGGTGTATTGTCTACATGTGTGTTAAGTGCACCCATGTCATGCAGTGCCCAAGGAGGTCAGAAGAGAGCATCAGATCCCTTGGAACTGGAGTTATGGACAATTGTGAGCCACCATGTGGGTGCTGGGAATCGAACCCAGGTCCTCTGCAAGAACAGTCAGTGCTCTTAATGGCTGAGCCATCTTGCCAGCTCATATGTATGTACTGCTAATGGCTATGATTCTACACAGAATTACATGAGAAAATCATAACACAAATTAAAATGGCAAATATAGTCATAAAAATTACTATGAATTAACCTCAATAAAGGATACTATTGAAAACTGAAGATCACATTCAAAATGTGCTAGCAATATGACTTGAGTTGAAAGACACCTCCTACTGTTCCTACTGAATGAATTTTGATGACAGTGGCATTTGAAAGTTCATTTATTATATGTTAGAAATAAAAAATAAAGCTGGGTGTGGTAGCCCATGCCTTTAATCCCAGTACTTGGGAGGCAGAAGCAAAAATATCTTTCTGAGATGGAGGCCAGCCTGGTCTACATAGTGAGTCCCAAGCCAGCTGGGGCTAAAGGGAGATCCTATCTCAAAAAATTAAAAAAACAAAAAGAAACCAAAATTAGTTGGTATGCATCTGAGGGAAAGAAAAAAAAAAGATTTCTTTACCTCTAATATAAGTGGGTTCATTGTCTAAAACCTACCTGTGTTTATCAGCAGGCAGCACTCCTTCCCAGGATGGAGACTAACAACCCTAAACAGTTATCAACAGAAAAATCAACACTCCCAGGGGATAGTTCTTCATCTCCAGATCAAAACGGCCCAGGGAAGCAAGATGGTCAGGAGTCCTCAACCTCACTCCAAGCACCTGAGCAAGAGACAAGTGTGTTCCCTGAGAAGGGAGGCCATGATATCTCTGAAGAGTTGAGCCGACAACTGGAAGACATCATAAGCACATATGGGTCTGCTGCCAATCCAACAGGGAAAGAGGACACCTCCAAGACCAAGGAGCAGCCGGATAGCACAGAGGCACAGGACAATGAGGATGGAGACTGTGAAGAAACCACTGAAGAGACTGAAAGAGAACCCACTGCTTCTGAAGAGCCAGCTGTAGTCAAAGAACCTGTCAGCAATAAAGAGCAAAAGCTGGAAAAGAAGATCCTAAAAGGATTAGGCAAGTATCATGTTCTAATGTATGGCTTTTCTTTTACTTATTCCTAACAGGGGCCATTTGCTTTAACTTTACTAAAATCCGTATTTTGTGTATTTGGATTAATATAATAGCCCCCCTCCAGGCTTCCGTAAATGTTCTCTTGCTGTATTTGTTTCTAGCCCTTTCGTTTTAATAGACCCAAAATGAAAATTTCATCTCGATATCTATCTATTATGTCTACATGGCTTTCCACTGTACTTATAGAGAAAAACAAAATTCTTAGCATAGTTTAAAGTCTCTAAGGTTTAACCCCAATCATTTTCAAGTTCATACCCCACAGTGCTCCCTTCCAGAACATTCTACCTTGATCCCACCATTACTACAATCACTTTTATCTTCTTTCTGTTTTTTGAAGTTGCTGTGTTCCATCCCCCAAGGGTCTGTGTACATTCCTATTTTTCTTTTCTAAAAACCTCTGCCCATTCCCCAATGACACCCCAATTCATCGCTTTGAGCACCTAACTTCTTCCTACTTACTGTTTAGCTCATAACTAAAATGGTATTTTCTTAGCCTAATCCTAGATAAAATCTTAGCTGTTTTGAGTCTTCATTATACCATGTGTTTTTCCCTTATAATATTAATCAGCATTTGGGATTACACATTTGCTGGGGCGGGAGGGTTAGTATTTGGTTACTATAGCTAATTCCCTATTGGGGTTTTTTTTCCCTCAAAGACCAGGTGTGTATGTTGGACATCATTGGATGTTTGTGGCTCAGGATAGGAGATGACACATTGAAGTCTCACTAGATATTTATTATAAGAATAAACAAATGAATAGAAAATGTATTTAAAGCAAATCGAGTATATAAGCAAAATAGAATAAATAGGTATAGGTTTACCAATAAAATAATTGTCAGATACTTAATATAAAATATTTTGATTAAGCATAGCTCATGAGAAATGTTCGGTTATGTGCAGGAAACACAAACTCATACTCTCATTAATCCATTGGCTCTGTGAATATTTGTTAATGCCTTGCCATTATGAGGCAGTGTTGGGAGCACAAAAAGAAGGAATGGCCCTTTGGTTAACGAGCTCTAGATAGTGAAAAGCCAGCACGTGAACTAACTGCAATACAGCAAAAACAAGTAGAGAAGAAAATGTTTTTGAAAAGCATGGGGCATTGGCAGCACCATCAATAATGGTAGAAGATGAGCAAGAATGTTTATTTTGTAGTTCTGACTGAAAACATATTACTGCACAGAGGAAAGCCCCTCTACCTGTCCTCCCTGGTGAATGTCTCTTCATCCCTCACTACAAAGATGAGACTTTCTTAGCATCACTTTCCTCAGTTAAGTTTTCTGCAGCCTTCCATGCTAGACAGATAACTTCTCAAGGGCAGTGAGCACATCTTGCTTGTTTCTACAGCACAGTAGAGAAAAATGCCAAGGGCACTGTGTCAGGACTTCATTCACTCTACAGTAATGCAGTACTATCTGTAAACCCAAAAGTATGTCCCCACTGGAGGAAGGTACCACAATGTACATAAAATGCATCGCTCTAGTGCTTTCAAGAGGACTACATGATATCTTAAAAATATCTTCACACTCCAAAGTACAAGTCGAAACCATTCTGGAACACTGAGACCCTAATCTCATTGCTCTGTGTTACAGAACAATTTTTCCATTCTCTAATCAAACATCTCAGACATGTCCATTGGCATTAGTCATGTTAAGAATCAGAATGACTCTGAACCATTTTACTTTATCATCCTAAAACTTTAATGGTGGAATCTGCATGTGAGTGCTTTGATGAGGAGAAAAGTTAAGGATAGCCAGTTGGGGCAACCCTCTCTTCCATGAGTTATTTCATATATCTATATTAAGCTTACAATTACCAAATAATTAAAACGGTTTTTTAGGGCAAGAAAAAAAAATTCCACATTTTTGGAGTGCCACTGTGTACAAATTACCAAGCTCCAAGTAAATGTATTTGGCTAGAATCTGTTTATGCTTCGCAGACCCACTCTCATTCTGTGGGGTCTGGTGACCTTTCTGTGCCATCCCACTCCACACCATTAGCATATCCTTTCATACTCAGTACTGTTCAGCTGTAGTCTGGTTAAAACAATGTTTTCAGACAAACCTACACAAAAACCACCACTTTCAATTTCTTCCAGTTATCTACAAGTGGCTTTAGGAATCTTCTTAGCTACTTATCAATTAAATGTCTGCATATTGTCTACACCAATGGTTTTCAAATTTAACAGCACATTAGAGCCAAATTCAGAATTTCTCAAAATTCTGACATACACTGCACAAAGTCAAACTGAGGCACTATGGCAAATTTGACAGAAAGTAGACTGAGGAAGCCTCAGACACATCAGTTCTTGGAGCAAATATGAAGGTCTGGCTGTGGTCTTTTTTTAGAACTGATCTACACTTTTATAGAATTTTAATAAGTCATCCAATCCTAGCAGAAGACAGATCCCTAGACTTTGCTTCCATATTTAATCAAAGAGAAGACTTTAAGTCTCTATCAGATATTATTTGCTTTATTGATATTTTAATAACATTTAAAAAAAATTCTTTTTGGTCTTTGTGAGACAGGGTCTCCCTGTAGCCCCAGCTGTCCTGGAACTCATTATGTAGACAGACCAGGCTGGCCTTGAACCCATAGAGATCCGCCTGTCTCTGCCTCCCGAGTGCTGGGATTAAAGGTGTGCGCCACCACTCCTGGCAAACATCTTTTTAAATTTTATTTATTATTTTTATTTTATGTGTGTGTATTGTCTGCATGTAGGTAAGTGCACTCATGTTGTGCAATGCCCACGGAGTTCAGAAGAGGTTGTTGGATCCCCTCGGACTGGAGTTCACAGACAGTTGTTAGCTGCCATGTGGGTGCTGAGATTCGAACCCGGGTCTTCTGCAAGAACAGCCAGTGTTCTTAATCGCTGAGCCATCTCTCCAGCCCCTATTGATACTTTTGAAATGCTAAAAGTTTCTAACTTTCTAATCCAAAGTTTCTAAAGTGTACACTTTGTATATTTGAAGTTTCAACAGAAGTGAACAATTTCTTTACCGACAGATTTCTCTGATCCTTAATATATACACACACAAAATAATCTCAAGCTGGATTTCATCATTTCCTGAACTTCTCAGACCAGGAAGGACTTTGTTTCACAGAACCCATCAACTATTTAGGACTTACTGAATACTCAGAACTTATTTTTTCTACAGAAGAGACATATTCTCACGTAATCCATGCACCATACGCTAGAGCAGTTGGGGAGCATTTTAAAATCTCTTAAGCTCGTAGTTTCTTTCCCTTTGCATCTGAAGTGGAAGAAATAAAAGACTGATGAAACACCATCACAAGCCCTGTTAGCATCTGAGTACCCCCTCCTTCCCTAACCCTCCAGGCTCACAAGGGACTTATTAATCACTTGACAACCTTATGTGGGCTGCATAAGAATCAGATAATAGTAAGCACAAGACGATGATAAAATATAATATTTGTTGTAAATGAGTAAATAAAGCTTAAGCCTGCGAGGAAAAAGAAAGCTAATGTACAGGTCCATTCTGAGCTCGGAATCCATCTACTCCATCTACCTACTAATTTATAGACAGGGAAATTAAAGCCTTAAGAGTCAGCCAAAATAAGTTACTCGATGACTTGATGTGATTATGAGATTAGTCATCAAGAAAGCAAGGGGCAAAACTGATGTCCCTAACACTGAGAGACCAAAAATACATGGAAGCAATCCATATATTGGTTAAGGACTATTGATTATAGTTTCTATTAATGGGTTTTATCCTTCGAGTGTAGGATGTTTTAAATCTCCTTTCCCTCTGAAGCTTCAGTAGTCTGTGGAACAAACTGACAAGAGACAGGTAATGAACAAAACACATACAAATTGTATTACATGCCTAAGGCTTGAGGGTATGAGATTCAAAGAGGGGCAAGATGGCTGACCCTTATAGACATATTAAAGGATGGGAGCTTGGGCCTCTAGGGAAAAGGGAGGTGGCACAGGCAATGGAAGGTTGAAAAGAGACTGTACAGCAAGGAAGAGCTGCCCTTAAAATGCACATGAGGTCTCCCAGGTCACAACAGCCCACAATGGTCCACTTGGGACAAGGCACCTAACCACAATCGTGGCTTCCAGTAGGAAGAGCTTTCTAGGCAGAAAGAGGTTACCAGATAAGAAAAGGCTCTGCCTGCATCTGCTATTTACTAAAGTAGATAAATATAACTGTTTATATAATCACTTGACAATTGATGATCTGTAAAAGCATGCTTATAAAGGTTTATAAAACAAATCTTGTCAGAGGCATTCCTGTGGCTACAGAGATCTGCAATTTATATGAATTAACAATTCAAAATATGCCAGACAAATAGCTTGGGAGTAGCATATACATCCACACTGGTTACTGGTGAGTTTTAATATATACACCAGGAAGTCTTTAACTACCGAGAGAATCCTTAAGTAAGATACTGTTTTTCTATATTGTCTACCTCTTCTCTTCGTCCTTAGAACAGTCACCTGCCCAGATGGCCTGATTCATTTCACATTGATTTCAACATATTCTGAGAGGGCCTTACTCTGTGGCTTTGATATAAATTCTAAAGGTTCTTTCGAAAAAGATGAGAGAGCAAAGGGATTCAAGAAAAAGAGGAATTGGCAATACTTAAAAACAGATAAGTGGATTCATAGAGATGCTGGAACTTAGGTCGGAATTTGAGAGAGAGAAGCATCCGAGTAACAGATGCAAGGGGAGAGAAAACAAGGAGCGAGATGATTCATGCTCTCTTCTGAGCAGAGTAGGGAACATATGTGTTAATATCTTTCTGATTTCATTTATGATTGCTAGTAGTTTAAACACATTATCTGTTGACCTCCTGAGAAGTTCAGGTCCATTCTCCAAGTGAGAGGCCAAAGCTCCAAATACAAATATATCAGGGTCACTAAAATACCAGAGGCACAAAATGGAGACAATTGCTAGAAAACACAGGCAGAATAGTATTTTCAAAACTGATTGTGGCATTAAAACCAAGTGAAATAAACAAGCGCTGTGACTATGAAAGGTGACAGAGGGGTAAGAGAAGAACACAAATGTGAAAGGCAGCTCAACATTCACAAATCAAGGATGACAAATAGCTAAACTGTGTTGCATTTGCTTTTATTGTTATTTATACAAAGTTATGCATGATTAAAGCTATTTCATTTGTGGGATCACCAAATCTTTTTTAAAACTGTATTTTATTATTTTTACTTTATGTATGAGTGTAGTGCCTGCATATACATAAGTGCACCCATGTCATGCAATGCCTTTGGAGGTCAGAAAAGAGTGTCGTATTCCCTGGAACTGTAATTACAGACAGTTGTTAGTCACCATGTGGGTACTGGGAATCGAACCCTGGTTCTCTGCAAGAGCAGCCAGTGCTCTTAACTGCTGATCCATCTCTCTAGCCCCCAAGGAATCACCAAATCTTAAAGAGTGAATTCAGAATCCATTTCTATAGCTGTTCTGTCTAAAATTTCAGGTTTTTAATTTCCCATTTCTAATCAACTTCCAGATGATTAGAAAATTCTTTTCATTTTTTGTAAAAATAACTCTTCACAGTCCAATACAGCTGTGCCAGTGGCTACAAGTCACATTGCTGTCCTTGTTGCACAGGTGGTTCAACTGTTGGGTAGCCTTTCCAGCAAACAATATTTTACACTGTGGTAGCCACATGCCCACCAGATGCCTTCCCCAGCTTTACTGTAGAAAAATGGAACTTGCTTTAGAATGACGCATTTGGGAGAAGGCAGATGATCCCCTCCTGATAAAATGTCCCTGAGTGAAGTCAGTGTTTCCTCTTGTGTCTAACTTGTCAACAAATGACCCTGTTTCCATGGAAATGTAATAATAGTTTTCTTAGAGGATGAGTACGTCTCTGTCTATTCCTCTCCACCACAATTATCTCACAAAGCAACCTTGCCCAGTAAAACCAATGCAAGTTTCAAATGTAACATCTCTGCTGTTCTAATGTCGTGAGTTCTGTACAGGCCTGTCTCCAGCTTCTTGTATTTTCTGTTGAAGGGAGAAATAATTTTTGAAAGTGTATTGATAGACTAGAATGGTAGGCAAACTTCTATGCCTGTCTCAAAACAAAACAAAACAAATAAACTTCTCTTTACAGTTACAGAATATAAAACCTAAAGAGAAAGACAATTTGGGGAAAAAAATAAAACATTGGAGTCACTCATTGATCCTCAGATAAGACACATAGTGGTTTTATATGTCAGTATTCATGATGACAAGTATCCCAGAATAAATGAAATGCCCCAGATCAAAGACTCGTCTTTCCTCTAGTTATTGAAGACAGCATTCATTTAATTTACATGATACCAGTTTGTGCTACTGGCTTGGTTTCATTCTATTGTTATTAACATTACTAAGCAGTTGCCATGGGCCAAACACTGTGCTCCACCCTGGCCCTAAACTGATCAACAGAGCAGTCCCTTGCCTTTAATAGGTGGTAAGAAGCCAGGACAACTGTCTTCACATGTACCTTCCTGGCTCTGAAGTCAAGGGTGAAGGGATGGTCTGACTAGTACCAATCATCCAGGCTGCCCTGTCATCAAGGCAACATTGTCATTAACCGCAGAGGCAGCACAGTGTGCCCAGTGTGCCTGGCTGTGGAGAGCAGGGAGCCAGGAGGGGCCACTTTCTCTCGTCTTAGGCCAGTCTCTGACCTGAACTGACTCCCTAGGCAAAGACCGATCAAGCCATTGGGAATGAGGTCATTTTCATCCAAAGACGTTCCCTTTTTTTTCTCTAGATTTCTCTGCCACCAAAATTCCACATGAGAGCGTAGTGATTTAGAACAAGAGTCACATTGGATTAAAGTCTTTAAAATGTCAGCATTAATTATGTAATGTTGGTATTTTCTGGGCCTTAGATATTCTACCTAGAAAATTAAAACAGTTAGTCTGGATATCCTTTGAAGGTCCTTCTAGACCTAAAAGTCTTTAATCCTACCTAGGCTTGCCATATTTAATAAACAGAAATACAAGATGTCCAACAAAATTGAATTTTAGGTAAATAATGAATACAACTATGTACAAGTCTGTCCATGACTTGTCTTTCAAAGGCAACCCTAATTCATGACAGATCTGCCTCACCAGGATGAAAGCAAGTATTTTAGCCAAGAGAAAACGTCTGCTCTTGGGGAAAAGGTTGCAAAGTTGCTAACATTCTTCAGCAGGTTTATATCAGGAAATAAAAGCTCTCTACTGTGGCTTGACCTCTTCTTACTGTGATTAGACAGAGGGGTTGTCACAGATAGGTGAGGAGGGAAAATTCTCCTACCTAGCCAGGATGGCTTGAAACGATGTGATCAGTGGTAAATGTGGGCCTCGGCATCTCACACATCCTTCCTGACACTGGCCAGATGGTTAACTAAAGACATGATTTCCAGGCACCACAGAAAGGCAAAGCTAAAGGAGACAGAAGAAAGAAGGGGGGAGGGAGAACCTAAGTCTCTCTGCTAATCAAGAACAGATGACTTTTAAAATATAGCTTGATGGCCAACTGGGGAGAGAAATGAAGCTGCCAACAGAGATTGGAGCCTGGGCAGAAGGGAAGCACTGAGGGAGCCAAGCACAGAATCGTGGAGATACGTGCACACATACACATACACACACATGCACACACACATACACACACACGTACACACATGCACACACACATGCACTCACACACACACAATACATCCACATGCACTCACACACATACACGCACGCATACATGCACACACATACACACAGGCTGTTTTGTGCTAGTCAGTAAATTCTGATTAGCTGTTCTGTCCCTTTTAAAATTAGTTAACATGAAAATGGGTAATTTATCCTTCCATAAAGTCAGTGCTGTGACACACACTTATCTTTTGACGATTAAAGATGCAGGAGGGAAGGTAACAGGAATGCAGATGAAAAGTTAGGGACTATTGTTTTGGCAAACTGTGGGCCTCTCCCTCCCCTTGTCGGCCATTGGCCGCTGACCCATGAGAACAAAGGGAACAGGAGTGACAAATGGGGTCAGGACGGCCAGGGAAAAGACCTTCCAGGAGTCAGTTTCAGTGATACAGGGGTCAGGGAAAAATATAGGGTGGAGATGGTAGCCAAAGCTTCAGCTGATGGGTATGCTTTATTTACATGTGGTAGGGGGATCCTATCATCTGGCTATAGGGCAATGCCTAATTATCATATTAAAAAAAAAAAAAACTGGGGGCAGTTTATTGCAGGTAACTATGCCAAAGGTCATGTTCCAAATAAGGCCAGGCATCCGTGCTTAGAGGCGTTTTCCAGATAAGGTCAGGCAAAGAGCAGGAAGCCCCCCCCCCCAAGAAAGGGAGTCCTCCATATAGCACTGAGCTCCTTAGAGCTACCTGGACATGGTGGACTGCAACCTTAGCAGCAGGGTCCCCCAGCAGCAAACTTACTGAAATTCTACGGTGAACTTGACCTTGCTAATCCTCACCCTGTAGGGTAGGTATTAACCTTTCTTATAAGAAAAGAAAATGATATCTGAGGCTCAAAGAGGTTAATGGTTTGGCCAAGCTTGGTACTAATTTGCAAGTGTTCTGACTGAAATGCAAGCACTTCTCACACAGCTACAAGTTCAACACTCATGTTTAAAATGTTTTTTTTTTTTAAGGTAAAGAAGCTAACTTGCTAATGCAAAATCTGAGCAAGCTGCAAACACCTGAAGAAAAACTTGATTGTTTATTCAAGAAGTATGCTGAATTGGTAAGACCTTTGGTCAGCTCTTTTTTTGTCTGAGATCTAGGGTCTAGTTAGTGCTGAAAGGAGATGGTTATTTATGTACATCATTATACCTGGTTACCTCACACAAGCCAAAGCTAGAGTCACAGAATTCTAGATTTCTAAAGAAAAGGAAAACATTAAGACATAACAGCAAAAGGGCAAAAGAAGGCAGGACTAGAATCTCTGTTCAATTATTTGCATGATGTGGGGAATGAAAGAAATCTAGATAATTGAATATTGTGGGTATTTAAAAGGTTCCTTTTTAACTTTGAAGTAAAATTATACATGCTATAAAGATTAAATCTCAAGCTTCATTCAGCTTCTGCACCCAGGTTTCTCAAGGGGTCCAAAAGGGACAATGCAGAGAGCAGTTAATGTGGCCTGCATGTTAATGGTCATGTCTGGTCTGGTCTGGCCTGGCCCATTTCTTCACCACTCATCCTTGGTCCCCATTCTCTCCCTTCCCTACAATGTTGAAGTCATCCATGTTCCAAGTCCTCCACAAACAGCCTCATTCTCCATCCTCAGTGAGGTCTTGAGAGCAACGGCAACCACCACAAACCATGCAAGGCTTCTAGAAGGGCACTGTCTTCTCTCCAGGCTTTTGAGTTGGCCAGCTGTGGATGAGGCTCAGTGACAGCAACCTCTCTAGTGTAGAGGAACCCTCATGAACACCTGCTGGGGTAAAGGAGAAGGAAAGACGGCAAAACAGACAAATCTGAGGTCTGTGTACCACTCCGTGCCTCCACCCCCAACAAAGTCGACAGTGTGCTGCTTTTTCTTAACTTATTTTTTATTTATGTTTTTTTTCCTCTTTAAAAAAATGACCTTTGTACTTCTTCTGGAGAAGCAGTGACAGGAAAATGAAACTTAAGGCACAAAACTTCCTCCGGGCATGGGTTCAATTGCCCAGCACCCCCCCACCCCCACATTTATTTTACAACTCAAGAATGTCCCACTTGTAGGGCCCCTGGGAGGAAGGCCCTGGACCTAATGCTCTTCAATTACTTTTTAGCCTCCAATGCTGAGTAAGCCTCAGGCCTGCGAACTCTCCATGTGGGTAGAACTTAGTGACTGGTCTGATTTGTTTTTCACCCTGACTTTGGTCTGTAATCCCAATTTCTTCTTTTCTTCCTTCTGCCTTGACACATCTTATTAGGTTGAACTGCCATGCCATCAATACACGACAATTCTGAATCCCTGAGTGAGTGGCTGATTGCATAACTTTCAGCTATCTCTTATTTATTTATTTATTGAATTTTATATTTTATTTATTATTTATTATTTTATGTGTATGAGTATATTGCCTGCATGTATGTAAGTGCACCCATGATATACGATGCCCATGGAGGTCAGAAGAGGGTGTTGGATCCCTTGGAACTGGAGTTATGGACAGTTGTTAGCTGCCATGTTTGTCCTGGGAATCGAAAGCGTCCTCTGCAAGAGTAGCCAGTGCTTTCTACCACTGAGCCATCTCTTCAGCCCCAACTTTTAGTTATTTTTAATCATACAAACCACACTGTAATGATAGAAGAACGCTGAACGCACAAAACCAAAGTCTCTAATCCGTCACCTAAAATACAGTTTTGTTTTATACATGTTCCTTCTCCATGCAGAGATACTGGACTTACTGCCAGAAGGCACATCTGAGTTGGTATCTGGTTTTCTTGGCTTGAGTAGCATTTTCCCACGTAGTTCATAGCCTACATAAGCATATTCTGTAAAACTTGTGTCATAGTCCATTAAGTGGCTAGATTTGCTGATTCACTCATTTGGGGGACAGTTCAATTCCTCCCACTTTTACTTCAGAAAATACTGCTACAGTGAACATCATCATATATTAGATTTATTCCTTCTCTTGTTTTTATGATTTTTAAGAAAAAGATCTAGAAATAGGTTTACTAAGTCAAACAAGATTAACGCTTTTTTGTTGTTTCTAAGCCTCACGGCCATGTTGCTTACCAAAAGAATGGTAGAAATTCACAAAGCAATTTATTTGACATTAACTGTTAGCAATTTCAGTGATCACAAGTTGTATGTCAAAGATAACACCCAAATAATAACAAAATATAATAAGTCAAACACGCTTTTTTGTTGTTTCTAAGCCTCACGGCCATGTTGCTTACCAAAAGAATGGTAGAAATTCACAAAGCAATTTATTTGACATTAACTGTTAGCAATTTCAGTGATCACAAGTTGTATGTTGTATGTCAAA